TGACGCAACATTAAAAAAAAAACAGAATAAACCGTTTTTTTTTTCTTCTTTTTTCGGGTTTTTTGCTTAAAACTCAAAAACTATCAACTTTTGGTAAATGGTCTGTTTACAGAAATTAAAGTACTTGAAATTTTCTACAAATACCAGTATTTAGTTTTTTTTTCAGACGAATCGTTCGGTTTCTAGTGCGAGTTGAAAATTGTAAATTTTTAGCATTTTATGCAAAACCCACTTTTTACATTTCAATATTTAATTTTTATGGATGCTGTCATTTGATAAATGTCACCTAGTTTTCCACACAAGTAATTAAAAAGAAAAAAGGGAAAAATTATGCAAATTCAGTAGGTAGGTAGAACTCGTAACAAAATAAAACTTAAAATCTCGTTACTTATGATCATATATTATTATGATTATAAATTATAATATGCAAAATTTATATGAGCCGTTGTCTTTTGGAAGGCCCTGGCTGAGGTTCTTCGATAACGATGAGTCCTGGTTCTGCTTGTTCTGGAAAATAAAAGTTTAAAGTTAAGTCATTTATCAAGAAGAGATGAAGATTGCAAAATAGATTGTGAGATTAAACATACCTTCCGCATCGTAGTGATGTTCTTCGACGGCATCGGGTCCTGGCTCAGGGTCTGATTGCTCCATCGTCCGCGTCGGGAGTCGTTCTCCTGGAAAATAAAAAGAGGAGAGACACATATCATATATCAAGGAGAGATGAATGACTACAAAATAACTTGTCAGATCCAACATACCTCTCCCTCTTTCTTCAGTTTCTTCTACGTCTATGTCAGAGCTGTCTTCTGGGGGCTCATCATTGTTACATAGTCCTTCGCATGATGCGCATATTGGGGAACAATGGAGTCCCGCCTTCCTGCATCCACAATTGCGTTGACAGCCCTTTTTACATTTACATGAAATGTACCGGAGTATTGAGTTTGGTGCAGGGTCCAAAGTAGTTGGTACTGGCACAAGACCACTACTAGTTTTTTGCCATCCCCACTCACTTGGGTCTTTTTGTTGCTCGTTAGGTGTGGCTTGACCGGATAACCACTGCTGCACCTGATAGTAAACTCTCAGTGAATGTTCTCGTGCAGCAGCTTCAGTTGGGGACAATGAGAAAATGTTGGTCTTATTTTTGAATGATGAAGATACGTATTGTTTATATCTTAAATCGTTTAGTTTTGTCTCTTTTTTCCATATAGAGCCGTGAGAAACATGTTTCCTGCTGTGGCAATCTCATCTTGACTTGAATTAGGGTCTTTGAAAGCTTCAATTACCGATTGCAAATCTTTGTTCTTCTGCAGGACTTTAAGAAATTTCAGTTTCCCTTGATTAAATAATGCAGAAGTAGTATCACAACCACTCATCGCATGCAGGAATAAAATATGATCCAATAGGATTTTCTCAGCAGCTAGATGAGGGTTGTAGAGGCTTTGCGAAACCTTTCCTTTTCCTGGCTTAAAAAAAATACGTTTTTTATATCAGAGCTACAAAGGCCAATCAAAATGACCAGTAGGTCGATATCTTCCCCCACCACTATCACATGTTCATTTGACGGGGCCATCTCAAGAGCTGTTGTGATAATTAGGATATCAGCATCTTCCACAGCTTTTTATAGTGCGCTAGTGTGCGCTACACGTACACACATATTACAACGTCTACAACAATTTAGCACATTGTTGCCGTTTGGAATGTAAAGCGGCTTTAACTGCTTTTTAACTGAGTTATTTTGATTTTTTGCAATCTAGCTATAATATTTGAGTCAAAACGTGAATTATCCGTGTGACTCGGTCTTTATTTTAATTAACTTAAATACTAGGGAAAATTAACTGAAAACCTTTCAATACAAATCTAAAAAGTGGGTTTTGCAGTCGCACTGGTACAAATTGCCAATTTTCAACTTGTACTTGAGACCGAACGGTTCGTCTGTACAATAACCAAAATAGTGACATTTGTACAGAACTTTAAGTACTTTAATTTCTATAAACAGACCATTTACTAAAAGTTAACAGTTTTCGAGTTTTAAGCAAAAAACCGGAAAAAAGCAAAAAAAAACCGATTTCTTCTGGTTTTTTAAATGTTGCGTCACGAAATTTTGTCCGCAAACCTCAGATTCAGATTTAGCACCCCAAAACACATATGGAATGAAAAAATCAGAACTTCCCCAAAACTTTCCTACTAGTATCACTTTACAGTACAAATTTACTGAATTATTAAAGAAATTTGCACACATACACAATTGTACATCTAATTTCATTCATTGTCATACAGCTGTCACCTTAATAAAATTTCAATAAATAACACACATTTCGTAAATATATCTCTTGAATAAATATAAATAACTTTTAAAGAATTAAATAATACAGAACATCACTTTCATTTAACAAACAATCACATTACACCTATTTTCTACTTCATTGGATAAAATCTATCTCCTCAAGAAACTTCCCCGTTGATTGTCAAACAATTACAATAGTAAAAACTGAAGATCCCCATTCAGCAATTACAGGATAGTTTGAACTATGTTCTCCCAACCATTAATTAATAGTGTACCGGCATGTAAGTAATGTTTTGTTTATTTACTAATTTATTACAATTCAATAGACTATTTTTATACCAATTTGTGGGTCTTACTTTGTCTGCTTAAACAGTTTATTCATTTAAAAAAAACCACAGACATGTAATATTGGCATAATTACTGTAATTTATATTATTTATCTTTTGTTTATCTTTATAAGACAACACCCTAATATGGGTTTTATTATTTCAGCATTTAATTAACTTTGTATCGACAGACCTGAAGATGCTTTGCAAATTGTAGAAAGCGAAACCGGTCGTCTAGATAGTTAAATTAAACTGATTGTGAGTAAGTCTTATTTATTATTTCTTTTACCTATTTAAAACTCTAGAGTTTCTTATATTTATAATATTTGTAATATTTAGCATAATTTGGGAAAAAAGTTTGCTGAATTATATTAAGATAAGTAGTTCTATGGGGTATATATTACCATTATTTTTTTTTTCTAAATGAGAAATTGTTAAATGATAATTGTATGAAAATGTTGTATGAAAAGATATAGAATTTAACATATTTTTGCCATCGAATATATGCCATCGTTACGGTAAATTGATTCCTGCCTTAATGTAGTTCATAGTAGTGGACGTGCACCACCAATACTCAATGTCGCACATTTTTATCCAGGAAACTTTTAGTCTTCTCTGACTATTATTGGTAAAATTCTTCTTTCTCCCTTTTTCTCTATTATAAGCCATTCTCTATCTCCACTTTTACTACGCGTAACAATTATATTTATTATGTCCGTAAAATCTTTAGTATCCTTTAGAATACCGATATTATGAGGATTTAGTCATCTCTTACAATTCTTTATTTGCATTCGTATTTCAATTTCATAACAAAGATCGTTTATTTTTCTTAGTGCGTTTCATCTTCTTTCAAAGGGTGGCGATCCAAATGGCAATTATAGCTTTGAAAACTGCTACACGAAAGATTTTTTCCGATGAGCAGTCAAAACATCTTCTCAGGTCTTTTAACCACGAATAATGTCGTCTTCCTACGGAGTTTTGCTTCGTGTTTTATCTTTTAATATGATTCTGAATAATTCATATCTATCACCTGTCAACACATGACCCAAGTATTGTTTTTTCTTTCTTTGATCACGTTTAGCATTTCTTTTTGTTTACTTATGCGCCAAAGTACAAGTTGGCCGTATATTCGAGGTGTTCTGGAATACCTTTCACGAGGGATTAGAGATTGTTTTATGTCAACAGAACGAGAGGTTTTATTGATAATGGCTTTTGTTTTTTCCTAAAACTTTTTTTCCTGTTGACATAAAACAATCAAACATACAACTGCCCTACACAACCATTGGCCAAGTGTTTGGCCAAAACCCTACAACCTTTCGCCAAAAATGCTTAATCCTTCGTCAAAAACTCTTTACATTTCATCGAACTTCTTAAACAATACCCTATCTCACCGTCAGAGCTTCTAGTAAGTTTCAATATTGTCTCACCATTTACAAACATTTCTATATATGAAACTCTAAACATTCTGAAAACTAAATACAGTATTAAACAAGACTCTTACCTATCATGAATCTCAATACTCAATCTCAATCCAAAGACTCAGACCCTTATTAACCAAAAGCTTTTCTTCCTTACATCAAAGGTGTCACTTACAAAATCGACAAAATTCTTAAATCAAGAGGAATAAAGACAATATTTACCCCCAACAAAAACTTTCATCTCTTGTCCGATCAATCAAAGACAACATTCCAAATGAACAACACGGAGTTTATGAAATTCCTTGTGCAGACTGTCCCCGATCCTATATAGGCCAAACAAATCGTAGAATCCAAAATAGGATTTATGAACATTCCATTTCTGTTCGCAATTCCGATTCAATTTCAGCTCTAGGTCAACACCATCTTCATACAGGTCACAAAATTGATTTTGAAAACTCCAGAACCATAGCCCCATCCGCTTCTATAAACCAAGAATTATCCGAGAAGCCATAGAAATAAAAAAAAGCCAAATTGTCTCAATAAAAGAGATGACGCATACGGTTACCTTCGACATGGAGACCTCTCATAAAGAAAATATCGTCCCCTCCATCCTCAAATCAAAATCCCATTGTTGAAAATGTTCGCGCCAACTCGTGCGCCAATCTCCATCCTAACACACACCTAGGCCACGTCACCATCGATGGTATAAATAAACCGTCTCCAACCAGCTTAGTCCATGAGAGTTAAGTATTAAAATATAGAGACAATAATTTTCTGTAATTTCTACTTTTATAGTTATTTACTATTTACATGTTTAAAAAAATGTTTTATAATTATATATATATATATATATATATATATATATATATATATATATACATATATATATATATATATATATATATATATATACATATATATATATATATATATATATATATATATATATATTATTTCAAATAAAGAATGTAAACATATTATGGTTGTAAATATTTAAACAGTACTACATTAGTTAATAGGTATAGATGGTAAACAGATACTAGCAATTCGGGATGGATACGACCCTCCCATAACAATTTCTGGTCCATCCACTCCATGTTCTAAAACCGCTTTCTGCTTCGATCTTTTTTGCACAACGTGCATCATCAGTGATATCGTCATTTATGAGATCTAAAATAAAAAAGAATAGTTATGATACAATATAATCTTATTTGTAACGAGAGTTAGCCTGAGAGCTAGGAGAGGGTTGTTTAACAAAATATATCCATCTGCTTAGATCAAATGACATCTGTTTTAATAGTTCTTCTTTAATAGTTTGCCTTGTTACAGGATAGTATTAAGAAAAACGCAAAAATAATTACTTTAAAATATAATTTCATTAGGTACAATAATTATAAATGTATTATATTTAAATAATTATAACTCTTAGGTATACTAAATAAAAATATTACTTTTATCTTTAATTACAATAATGTTTTTATTTACGCTGCTGCCAAAAGTTGCCGTTATAAACAAAAGTTGCTGCTCTTTATACCTATTAATAAAAAACTATGAATTTATGACTCCTCGTACTCGATTGTCGGATTTTTGTGACAGCCCTGTTGTGCTGACCAAGGTTTTTAAATTTCCACGAAATTCTGAACGACCGATAACAAGACTGAGGTTGCTTTTGGTATGTTTATATAGATAATAAAGGATATAGATATAAAGAGAGCACGCATTTATTAGTGACGATTTCGCTATCAGAAAAATATTAAGTAAATAAAAATGTGGCGTCCATGGAAGAATAGTGCATTACAAATTGTTGAGAATAATGAATTAGAAATTGTTGAAGAAAATGGGGAAAGTCTACCACCAAATAATCCTGAAAATGTTGCTTAGCCAAGTATATAAAGTATTAAAAAGCCAGAAAAAAAAAACATTTATCGAAAGACGGTAAAGAAATTGTGTTAAATGTGTTTAATGGATTATGTGAAGAACTGGAACGGCACGAGAGTGTTTTACAAACTGCGGCTTTAAAAAAAGATTTCATTTGCTACTGTATATCGAATTATCATCATCATCATCCAGCCTTAAGAGTCCAGTCTATCTTGCGCCGCTCTTATCCAGTTTTTATTGAGTCTTCTTAAATCGTCAGTCCATCTTGTAGGTGGTCGACCGACGCTTCTCTTGTCTTCCCTTGGCCTCCATTCCAATAACCTCTTTGTCCATCGCCCATCTGTCATTCTGGCTATGTGTCCTGCCCATCTCCATTTTAGTCTGGCTATCTTCTCGATGATGTCAGTCACTCCGGTTCTTCTCCTGATGTCTTCGTTGGTTATTCTGTCTCGCAGAGTTATTCCTAACATGGACCGCTCCATTCTTCTCTGCGTGACTCTCAGTTTGGTAGCTGCTGCTTTTGTTAAGGTAAGTGTTTCTGCTCCGTACGTCAAGACTGGGAGGACGCACTGATCAAATACCTTTCTCTTTAGGCATGTGGGCAGCTCACTTTTAAAAGTTTCTCTCAGTTTTCCAAATGCTGCCCACCCAAGGCCGATTCTTCTCTTCAGTTCATGAGTCTGGTTATCCCTGCCAATCATAATTTCATGTCCCAGGTATTTATATCTATCTACGAGTTCTATTTCTTTCCCACCAATACTGATGTTCTGGTTGGGTACCAAATTGGTCATGATTTTTGTTTTCGAGATATTTATATTTAAACCTACATTTTCTGTAGCCACAACGAGTTCCTGTACCATCTCTCTTGCCATACCTAGATCTTCAGCTATTATAAGTATATCATCGGCGAAACGTAAGTTGTTTAGATATTCTCCATCTATTTTTATTCCCTTTGTCATCCAATCCAAATTCTTAAAAGCATGTTCTAGCACCGTATTAAAAAGTTTAGGTGACATTGGGTCTCCTTGTCTAACCCCCGTTCTATTTTTATGCGATTACTGTTAGTATGTAATCTGACAGTGGTTGTTGCCTGCAGGTATATTTTGTATAATAATTTAGTATATCTATAATCTAGCCTGCATTCTTTAAGCGCCTGTAATATTTTGCTTAGCTCAACTGTGTCAAAGGCTTTGTGAAAATCGATAAATATTAGAACTAGAGGTTTATTGTATTCCACTGCTTTCTCTATTAGGGTTTTTATACTTTGTAGATGGTCATTTGTTCCGTAACTTTTTCGGAATCCTGCCTGTTCCCTTGGTTGATAAGTCTCTAATTTTCTTTCCATTCTCTTAACTAGTATTTCCGTAAACAACTTATTTATATGACTGAGGAGGATAATCGGTCTGTAATTTTCTAAATTTGCTTTGTCTCCTACTTTGTGTAATAGAATCATAGTAGCATTGTTCCAATTTTCCAATTTTTTTCAATTTTTTCCAATTTTCCAATTTTTTTTGGAAATTTCCGAAAATTGGAAAACTACAGACCCATCAGCCTATTGTCACACCTGTTTAAAATACTCACCAAAGTCATAACTACTCGACTAACAAGGAAATTAGACGAATACCAACCATATGAACAGGCAGGTTTTAGAAAAGGCTATTCAACTTCCGATCACCTGTTAACCACAAAAATATTAATAGAAAAATGTAACGAATACAAGTTTCCAGTTTTCCTTGCATTTGTAGACTACGAAAAAGCTTTCGATACCATAGAACACACGGCCGTAATAAACGCAATGCAAAATTGTAGAATAGACAGCAGATATATTAACTTAATAAAAGAAACTATGAACCAAGCTACAGCTACATACTACCTAAATGAAAATGAACACACGAACCCTGTACCATTAAACAGGGGAGTCAAACAGGGAGATACTTTATCACCCAAACTGTTCACCTTAGTTTTGGAGGACGTTTTTAAAAACCTAAATTGGAAATATAAGGGAATAAACATCAATGGCCGCTACCTCAGTAATCTACGATTTGCAGATGACATAATCCTGATAGCTACTGACCTACAAGAAATGCAAACCATGCTTGTAGAACTTCATACCGAATCTTCTAAAATAGGACTGAAAATGAATTTAAACAAAACAAAAGTCATGCACTCCGAAGACACCGTGACAATAATAAACGATAAAGTTATAGAAAAAGTTGAAGAATATATATACTTGGGACAAAAAATAATCCTAAATAGGGAAATTCAGACTGAAGAAATAAAAAGAAGAAGAAAGTTAGCTTGGGCAGCATTCGGTAAACTGAACTATATACTCAGAAATCAACAAATTCAATTACATCTTAGATCTAAAGTTTTTGATGCATGCATTATTCCGATATTAACTTATGCGGCACAAACATGGACAATCACAAAAAAGAATATGAATATACTTAGAGTCACTCAACACGCGATGGAAAGAGCAATGCTAGGTATATCACTTAAGGACAAGAAAACAAACACATGGATAAGACAGAAAACCAAAGTCACCGATGTGGTGCAAAAAGCATTAAAGCTAAATGGGAATACGCTGGACATGTAGCTAGGAGCGATCTAAACAAATGGCACAGATCAATTTTAACCTGGAGACCATACCAACACAAAAGACCCAGAGGCAGACCTCCTATGAGATGGACAGATGATCTGAAAAGGACTGCCGGGAAAAATTGGCTACAAGTAGCGTACAATAAAAAACAATGGAAAGGAAGACTTGAAGAGGCTTATGTTCAGATGTGGACGTGAATGGCTAGACGAAGAAGAAGAAGAAGCATTGTTCCAGCCTGTTGGAATATTGGCGCTGTGAAGGCAGATATTGAAAAGTTGTTTAATTTTTTCAAGTAATACATCCCCTCCAATTTTTAGTGCTTCTGATACTATTCCATCTTCACCCGGGGTTCGATTATTTTTCATTTTCTTCAGGGCTTCTTTGATTTCTGATTTTGTTATATCGGGCATTAAATCTGATCCTTGGTTTAATACCCCAGTTTTTAGTGTAATTGGAGGTTCCGTATTGTTATCTTTTTTTCTTGATCTATATAACTCTGTGTAGAACTCTTCGACTATTCTTAATATTTCATCTCTGTTCGTTGTTTCTTCTCCAGTTCTGTTTCTCAGTTTGTTAATTTCTATTTTCCCTTTTGTACGCTCCTCTTCAAAACTTTCATGTTCTTATTTTGCTCTATTGCCTGTTTTGTTTTTTCTACATTGTAGTTTCTTATGTCTTTTCTTATTGCCTTTGTGATCGTCTTATTTATTTGATTTATCGCTTCTTTGCTTGTAGTGTTATCTCCTTTCATTTGTCGCCTTAGTTCTATAAGGGTTTTCGTGGGTTGACTCAGTTTTTCATCTTTTTTGCTTGTCGGACAATATTTAGTTTGAGCCTGTTGCATTGTGTTGACTATTTGTTTGTTCAATATATTGATGTCTGCTGTTGTTGTATCTTTCAATGAATTACCAATATATTTTTCGAACTCCTGAATGTTAGTTGGTTTTGTCCATTTCTTTGGTTGTTTCTTATTTATCATTTTGAGTCTTTCTTTTTCGGTTGATATCGTTATTTTAGCTCTTACTAACCTATGATCACTGCTTGTACTGAACTGGTTTAGCACATTTACGTCTTTAAATAATTCATTTTTGTTTGTTAAGAAATAGTCGATTTCGTTCCTTGTTTTTCCATCAGGACTTTCATATGTCTATCTTCTGTGTTTTTTCTTTTTAAAGAAGCTGTTCATTTGATAGAGATTGTTTTCCAAAAGGAAAGTTAGTAGTTGTTTGCCTCTATCATTTCTGCCTTCGCTTCCAAAATTTCCCAATATTATTTCAGAGGGGTCTTCCTTAGTGCCTATTTTGGCGTTGAAATCACCACCTATTATTAAGAAGTGTCCAGGATTTTCCTTGATTGCACAGGATATTTGGTCGTAGAATATTTGGACTTCTTCGTCTGGATGTCCTGTAGTAGGGGCGTACACTTGAATGAACTTTAGGATATATCTGGCGTTTATTTTGATGTTTAAGTAGACCACTTTTGTTGAGATTTGGTTTATTGACACAATTCTGTTAGCAATTCTTTTGTGAATAAAGAAGCCGACGCCTCCGACTGTCGATTCCTCTTCTCCTTTGTAATAAAATAAATAGTCTGATGGGAGTGAGGTAAGACTCTCTGCCTTTTTTCTAACTTCGCTGATACCTACAATATACCAGTTCACTTTTGAAAGTTCTTCCTCCATTTATTCGAATCT